ATGCAAGTTCCGTGTTCAAGTCCTTAGCCAATGCCTCCAGATGTGTCAAAACCGATCCGACGAGAGGTGTCCGATTCGCAACCCGTTGCTGAAGAGCGTCTTTACACTTCTTCAGTGCTGCAGAGGCATATACTGAGCCGAGAAGCGAGTCGCCACTCGAAGATAAGGCAAGGTGAGAGAAGTGAAAAGCGGACGGATCAACCTCTGCCTGGTTTGCCTTCGTGTCGCTCCTCATAATATCAACGCCTCGCTGTACTTCACGTACGATCGCGCCCTCGACATCTGCGAGCTTGTCTCTCCAAACCTCTCGTACCCGCCGTTGACATGCGTGCTGAACCAAGGATAGTAGATTCTCTCTCTCTCGTTCCGTGAATAGCTCCAGGGACCCCTTGCCACTCTCGGGGAGGTGACCAAACTGTAAGCTGGTCCATACACCCCAAACGTCCCGTAGATCGTCTAGATCTTGCAGCCAGGTGGAGAGCCGATCTTCTAGGCTCTGCAGAGACGTAGTGAACCAGGAGGACGTGGCAGAAGCGACCGCAACGGGAGGGAGTTGGGATGAAGGGGAATCCGTGTCGATGTATGGAGCGTAAGACTGAATGGATGCTGGCAAGTAGCGAACGAGTAAGGTGGAAGATGGGAGTGTTGAAAGTAGAAAGGGGGTATCTAAAACGTTTGATTGGCCATCTCGCTTCGCCGCATCACGCGAAGTGCTTCCAGTCGTTATGTTCTCTAAGAGCTCTGCGATGAGCGGGGCACCATTACTGCCGGCAAAAATCTCCTTGACGGCGGCGACGGTTGTCCCCAGAAGGTTCACTACACGTCTCAAGGACTGCCGAACCCGTTTCACCACTTTATCCTTCCTCTTGTTCGATATCGACTGCTCTCCGTTCGCGGAAGCTTGACTAAAACTGTCAAGCGGGAATCGGAACGATAGTTCTGCGCTCGCGGATTCGGCCAGTAAAGGGGTAGATGGCGGGTAGGGACTGCGAAGGAGGCTTGCGGCAAGTTCTTGGTTCTTGCGCCGGCTTTTAGATATTGCTGGTGTTTGTGGAGCGTTCTCGATGCCAGCATACACGGCCTGTAGTGTTTTAGTTCTCTGAGAGAGGAAGAGTGACAGGGTCTCGGAAATGGGGAGGGAGTCGAGCAATAAGATGGAAAGAAGAGTCTCGGCGGAGGAAGTGTGTGGGGATTTTGTAACAGATGTAGCCGGGACTGTCGGAGGATAGTCCCTGAGTGATTGGCTAGCACGGTAGGCTATCTGTGAGCGAAAGGTACTGATGGTATCCCATTGTCGTTGCGCCAAAGGAAACTGATCCTATTAAAGATTCTCAGAAGCGCTCAAAACAATATTTCCTGAGGCCAAGCTCACCGCAACTTGAATGCCGTCCTTTGCCCATTCCATGTCGTGCTCGTCTCCGTCATCTTCATCGTAGGTCAACGCTCGGTATACCACACGGGCCAGAAGATAGAGCCATGCAGCTTGTAGATATCGCTTGCGCTCTAGCAATCGCCACAACTGTTCCGGTGTATCGAGTAATAACTTAAGATGTGCTGCCAAGGACTGCAGAGTGATGAGCTGAGAATCTGCCGGAATGCACAAGATCAGCTACGCATAGCGACAGAAGAGTTCAGCATATATACCTTCTGCAGATGCACTTCCTTTGGTGAGAGCTCCTCCGAACAAGCTCTGTTGCCTTTTATGGGACCGTGTCTTAAGGGCACGAATGTCCTTCGAGGTACTGCATCCTTCCTTCATATCTTCCAGGGCATTTCGAACACGTTGAGATGACTCGGAGATGGATTCGATCGAGGAGGATGCCTGCAAGAGATCGCGATACCGTTCGCTGCTCTTTCAGACAAGGCATTATGAGAAGATGGGGAGGGTTTCCAAGACGTCATCCCAACGTACCCGACCATAACTCGGAGTTCTTCTTGCTTGGAATCAGCCTCAGATCTGCAATTAGGAAGGCCTTCGTCATCGCATACACAGCACAAAATGCAATCTTAAATACGGAGTTGGGGCGCACCTAAGGCGAGCTTGAAGCGCTTTGACTTCAGATACCGAAAACCTGGCAAACATCTGATCAGGCTCAAGCCTGCTCAGGTTCTCTTCGCCCGCTTTGGACTGGGATACCGGTGGCGGGAGGCTGCCCACAGAAAACGCTCCGTTCATCGGAGACTTGGCCGACTGCCGACCTGCAGACTTGGACGTGGAGCCGGCAGCAGGAAAGTTTAGGCTATCCAGCTTCCCGAGCTTGGCAGATGCACTGATCTTGAGCTGCGTTGTATGAGACGCCATTCAAAGCTGAAATCAGTCGAGATTGAAAGGATGTCGGCGCGTCTGCGCCACGAGACCAAACTGTCTGCGTTCTCCTCGTCCTACCCCATCCCCACTCTTCCTCTCACTATCTAGGAGGCGGGACCATAACGTTGGAACGCAAATTGGTCGCCGACTGACCATCGTGCTGCCTGATACCCGTGACTGCCATGCTTTGCAGCTCAATTTACTTGGTTGGCGACCCACACTCTCGATACAACCCAATAATGCACTGGCTCGGTCATGTCCTGGGACTGTCCACATGATCAATAAGTTATAAAGGTGTACAGAACGAATGCTCAGGGATTAGGGCTTTTGGGGTGCGCCTTAACGCGGCGGTCTACATCAGCAACTGGTCGAGACATCAGTGCGACCGAGAGAGCTTATAATCTGGTGGGATATTTTCAATGTGAAGCAGCATGCCGCTTCTCAAGTAATATTTGGCGAAGGTCAGCCCACATCCATGGCATCTGCGACAACCGGCGTCAATTCCTATCGCCAAATGAGGGACCGCGCTCACCTGAGGTGCTCTGGGTCGTCGTAGAACTGTGTATAGTAACACCTATTATGGGGCCCTGTATTAGACGGCGAGCCCACCTGGGCGCTATCTGGCGACGTACCCTTGTTCGGTGACGCCAAACACCTCTCTCCAGACATCGCAGCAGCGGAAATCTGCCTCGCCAACGAAAAATCCCTTGCCCTTTCTGTGGTGAAGGATGGGATTTCAGCGTCACACAGACAACGCCCGTTTAGATTTAACTCACGCAGGAATATGCCTTATGATGCAGTATAATGGTTTTCGCTCCCGACCAAGCCCGCGCTGAACGACATAGATGGGTTCATCTTGCCGCAAATCACCCCGTGTTTCATTTCGTGCGCTCATAATAGTTGGTTGAAGAGCGAGTGAGGGAAGGGCAACAGAACGCTTTGATTGTTGAGTGTGCGCGCGACCAAATTTATGGTGCTACGAAAAGTAGCTTGCTAGTTTTATTATTGAATGGGCGGGATGTATGCGGACGTGGGACGATGGGGTAATGAGGTGTCAACTACGAGCCATCGCAACAGCTTTTATACCTGAAGTCGTGATGCGGCTTCTTTCTGGCAAATGCGCGTGACTCATTCCTAGAAAGAATTATTGACAGGGTGTGGACCTTCGCAGTCCCTGTGGAAAGAATCTCTTTGTGGAAAAGTCCATTGAGGCGGGCGAGCAAGGCGGGGTCGTGGCAGTCAAAGGTTATCGGGAAGATAAAGGAGGCGGAGCATGAGAAATAGCAGTCTATTCCTGCGGCATGGCATGGGGCGGCTGACGTTTTCACAGTTCTACTATTCCTGGCATGCAAGGCTGTTTGAGCCCTTGAGTTCGTTGTTCCATCTGGGCCCCGTTGAAATTTAAACCAGGGACCACACGGTCGTGATGAGGGATTGTGTGGAGACAAGTGTTGACCACTATGATTGGTGGCCACGAACGTTGATGGAACTTAAGATGCGAATGGTGTGATTACCGACATTCAACGATAATTTACATAACCCCGATCTCCAAGCCCAAGCAGATACTCGAAGGAAACGTACTTACTGGACGTACTTACTATTACTGGAGTGTTCACTCTGGCGATGCACTTGTCAAGGGGTCAGGGGTTAGGTTTGGCGCCTTCAAGGTGAGCGCATCGGCCATTATAGAGTACCGTCCAAGAGTTTGTGGCGTACGAAGACGCTCTCTAAGAATCAGGGACCTTTCTAGGCCAAGTCGATGGTCCTACGAGTGAATGAGACCTCGGGCGTAAGCGAGGAGCTTGTGCACATTGAACCTTGGTATCCCGTTAGTCCTTACCAGCCAGTAGCATCCGAGGTATGGTATGTAAGAAGCATAGGGATCTAGCACGTTCGACGACTCTGATGGGGACACTCGCCTTAAACGGCCTAAAGTAGAACCCACCTGACTTGATCTTAACTCGTGCAAAACTTTAGGGGACGGAGGAGCGAGCGAAGAAGCACCTCACCGGTGTCTGGGCATGCCCGCATGGGACTTTTGTCTCGACCATCTGGTTTCGTTTCCTGTGAGTAACAGTGGCTGGACGAGACTATGGAAGGCTGATACGCATGTCGATAGTAGAGTAGGAGTAGCGGCCACGATGATTGCTCCCTCGGCGCCTGATACCATGAAATTGGGATTTCAAAATTTACCAAAGCATCGCCCGCAGCTGGTCCCCGCAACCCACCTCGCATACCCTTTGCGCGTCGAAGTATGAATCTGAGTGCGACTAAGAGCGATGCTAGATATTTTGTACGTTTGACACGCTGAATGGAGTTGCCAATATTGGGCGTCCAGTCTTGGGCAAAACACGACCCCAATCCCAGTGTATCAGACCGCTATCGCTATATCTAGCGGTTTCACGTTAGCGGTCTGAAACCTCTCAAATGGCCCTACAATGCTTTAACCGAAGATCACTTCGACGAACGGGAACTCGAAAGTACGAAAACCAACGGTCCCGACTGTATGCATTACTAAATATAGTATTGATTCGCCTAGTGGGTTTCCTGCGTCAGTCGAGGGGATTGTGTGTATAGTTAGGCTATACCTCTAGCTATTTACAAAGAGCGATGCCATTATAAAACCGCTCTTTTATGGTGCAGCACCGCCCTATCATTATCCTTTGCAGCATAGCACAAAAGCTGCAAAAGATACATTGGCCGGGATTCGAACCCGGGACTATTGCTAATCAATTAATGGGAAGCAACAATGATAACCACTCCACCACCAATGTTGTCGGAATTATTGAACCAAGTTAAACGTCTCAGTGTTCTGTTATATCTTGCGATGTTTCGGAGGACAAAGTTCCCTGATAGCTGGTTTTGGGGAATGGGGATATAGCTGATAGTTTAAAAGCTTGGAAGAGAAAGCCAAGGCAAGAGCTGCCCACTTGGGGTGTTTATGGCCAGTCATTATCACAGATTAATTTAACCGCGTTTGTATCAACTACATGGCCCGCTGCAGCGGTCGCGCGGCATCACATGCGGGGAGCTTCTGAGAGGCAGTTCACTAAGGTGTGAAGAGTGTAGCTAGATACGACCATCAGCTCTCATTTTGTCGTCTGCCTCTTGGAAGCATCGCTCAGAGTTCTACTCTAAAGCTCAACCATCGGACCAGTAATGAAGTCGACGCCAAAGCTACGAGCTTCCAATGCACCGCTAGGAATAAGGTTCCATCAAACTTAGACACCTACGCATCGGCGGCCCGTTATACCCCAACAGAATTCCAACGCCAAAAGCTTGGATCAAGGTCCTTCTGAATCAGTTTGCGCTCACTACGAGAAGCTCTGCTGAAGTTAGAACAAGTCGACCCGCAAACTCAATCAAAATGCATCATTTGTCGATTGGTATTACCTGCAGCGCCTAATCAGGCTGCTCTGAAGTGCAGGTTCACGGGTAAGCCCCTTCTGTTTGCTTCGGTGCATACTGAAGTAGACTGCAATATTGAAGAGCTATATCCTCACCACCTGGGTTGCGTGGTCTCTCGGATTGTATCCAGAGAGCCTCGTGAATGCATGAGGGGTGTATGTATTGTAAAAATGTGTGGATGTTTGAAGAATAAATCGCATTGCCAATAACGAAGCCGGCGAGCTCTGACTGTATGGAAAAGATAGGAAAGACCGGTTCCATGTGATCTACTAGATGGTGGAAAAGACTGAATACACACACCGCGCATCAATAAAGCGTCAGGCTGCGCGTGGCACGCACTTGATCAAAAGAAATTACTGAATAGCCCCTGCTGTCGTCTAGGTGTGGGCTGTGAGTCCTTCCGTAGGTTCACTAGACTCTGCAATTGCTTCATGACCTGTTAAAGAATGAGTACGCGGAAGTAATTGAATAGTTTTACACAGCTACATACCTCCTCAAGCTTGTCTTTCCGATCTTGTAGTTCAAGGTGCCGCCGTATTCCCGGATTCTCACGGGCGAACCTTATAATCTCGCTGCGGTCAAGGTCATACATAAGACGTGAATCAATCTCGCGAGGGAACTGTGCGGCACCATAACGTCAATTTGTGTTCCGGCGTATGAAAGAGCGCGGCTTACTTGGTAGAAGAATTGGTCAAGGAGCTCAATGTTGATGAACATTGCCGATGTGTATGCGAGCTTGTCAGCGACAACGTTGAGGAAGACCTCAGGACAGAAAGTGTCACTTTCAGGGCCTGATTTGCATCTCTTAGACTTGAGGGCAGCGAGACGTAATTTGAGGATTGTAAGTCGGTCGATGTATTGAGCTGCTCGGCGAGCTGCAAGTAATCACCTGTTAGTATCTGTAACGCAATAGCCACCGGATCGCCCAAGGGTGCCTATAGCTTACTCACCATCGATCACGTGGGCTGGAGGATATCGATAGTCGTCCGCAACAGACTTCTCTGTCTCAACAGCTGCCACAGGACTGTCCATGCTGTCATCGGCCAACGGCTGGATGGGTGTAAATCTCCTGGTCGCCCTCTCTCGCTCTTCGTCCTCCAGTGCTTTGACATAGCCTAATAGTGCAGTCAGCCGCCTGTTCCCCCCAACTCGCTTCTTGATAGCGGCCAGCTTGTCATGGCATGAGTCTAGCTCTTTCTCGAAGAGGCCAACAGCTTTCTCCCTCCCACTCTCCCATTCTCTATCGTCAATTTCGACTTCAGTCTTGACCTTGTAAGGCTTTATGCAGTTCTCGACTTGGTCGGAAGTCACGCCGAGACGCTCCCGGAGGATCGCATGAGAAAATTGAACGATCCTCTCGGCAGCAGACGGGTGGTAGCTGTAAGGTTCACCAGTCGCGATCGAGTCGATGAGGGTGCGCAACCCGTCCGCGACTAGCGTTGTACTGTCTCGACCGACACCGGACTTGGTCAGCAGTGACGATGCTGCTTCGATTTTGTATTGCCAGTAAGGTTCTAGATCTTCCGTCCGAAGCTTAGGGTTTGCGGCCAGATCCGACAGCTCTGCAGTACGCTTATCTGCCCAGTACAATTGCTCCAATACATCCATCACTTTGTCATCCAACATTGCCTTTAGCTTTGCCCTGATCTGCGGCTTCTTGAAAGCGGTGGTGAACTCCTTGAACCGAGCCTTGAGTGCATCTACGGTCTCGGCGACGTACGACTCAGCGGTGATGCGACGATCGTTGTACTGGACTTTGAACTGGTAGGAGGCCTCTTCAAGCTCCAGCTGAACAGCGTTGGTGATCCCATGCAGTGAAGAAGCCATGCTAGACTCCAAGACGTCCATAAGCCGCCGTCGGAGTGTATCGGTGCCAATCATGATGGATGTCGAAGCGAAAGCGTCTGTGTGTGCCCCAAAGTAGCTATCCTCTTTTCTCCTAACAGCGTTGGACAGGCTATTGGTATCGGAACGGTTCGCCTTTCGCGCCTCCTTCGCGTCATGCTTGCATACAACTCCGACGTATCCGAGGTGGAGAGGGTATCTATTTCCCTCCAGGATGGCTGCTCCAGTCTCTGGTGGCACAAGGTCCATTTTCGTAACAACGCCGATGGTCCGAAGGCCCAATGGGTCCACTCTTCTACTGGCGCGTAAGGCAGGACTGTTAGCCAAGTCAACGTCTGCGGCGCACACGGCCAGTATAATATTGGGCTCCCGGATGTATCGATCGCATAGCGCGCTAATCTTCTCCTTGAGCGTCTCTGGCTGGTCCAGTGAGCTGAGCTGTACGTATCCGGGAAGATCGATGAGAGTGAGGTCTGGTACGTGTGGGCTGTATATCCGGAGGTCGATGGGAGCGTCTGAGACACATTCTTCGGCAGGAACAGCCAAGTTCAGCTCCGTAAGGGTCTTCTGTATGTGTTTGAAGTCGGTGATTTTACCAAGTCCGAGAGATGGGAACTCTCCATATTCAGAAGCAACATCAGGGGAATGGATGAGAGTTAGTTCGATAGGCCGACGGGTGACCATGTTGTTTCCTCTATAGTCATGTCAGTTTAGTGATAAAGTGGACATTTAATGGTTTTCCTTACTTTGGCAGGAATTCGTGCCCCACGATGGCTTCCAGTACCGAGCTCTTCCCTGAGCTCTGGCTCCCGATGACGACGATACTCGGTAATGTCAAGCTATCGCTCTGCCCAACGCTCAGCAAGATGCTCCGAATACCGATGAGCTTTTTCGTCAGATGCATGAGCTCAGATGGCTTGTCCAAAGAGTCCGACGTTCGTATTCGTTCCTCGTTCGAAGGTTCTGAAGGCGACGACATCGTCGCCGTGATGAGTGCCGCCAGACTGGGGCCGCCAGAACCTCTGTTACCGCCCGTTTCCTCCTCTCCTTTCGATTCCTTTTGCTCCTCCTTTTCACCTTCCGAAGAAGACTGGAACATATTCCTCAGGAATTCTGGTGCCTCGAACGTCGGTAGAGATGGTAGCTCAATCCCTGCGACTTGCGTGCGTAGCGAACTAAATCGCTCGCCGGCAGCGTCGAACATATCAGCCGCGCCATCCTGTACGTCGGATATCCATGCAGTAGACCGTGTTTTGAGCTCTGTATAACGAAAAATAGGTTGATCAGACTATGCCGAAAGCGCACGCGTCCTTCGGCATCCCAAGAAACGCACCTTCGATCTTATAGTTAGCATATCCAAAGGCACCAGCTCCAACAGTCGCGCCAGCTATAGGTACTCTGAACGCCTTGGCCACGAACTTGGGTAGCGCAGTATATGAAATTGCTCGTGCATGAATATGACGCAAGGACCTAAGCGCGACTGCTGGTAGCCGTGGCCGTAGCCGGCTGGCTGAAGTCGAAGAAAGGGAAGTAGCTAGAGTCCGTGCTTGTTGTGGTGTAAGTGATTTGGGATGAGTCGCTGCCTTGCGTCGTAGGATAGACAGCATTGCAGCCCAAGTGGTGGTCAAGATCTAAAGATGATTCTAAATGGCCCTCGCGCGATCGTCTCACGTTTCAGGACCAAACATTCTGACTACCATATCCAGATCCCACTCAATGCCCAGGAAGACAGACAGCATTTCGACACCTTCAGGATGGCCTATGGATGTTACCTACATCACCAGCCAGAATTATGCGGCCGAATTCCAATTCAAATTGAAGCAGCGGGTTGGGGGGATAGAAGGCGGGAAGGCAATGACTGAGGGCTCAAAATCATCCTGGGTGTCCATCGAAGTGATATCATCATCATCGCACCCTGCAAATGGCCAGAAAGGTCTATTCGCGACGCGCAAAATCCCTCCCAAAACCCACATCCTCGACTACCTTGGCGAAGTCCACGCAGACGATCGCGATGACTCGGACTACGATCTCTCTCTGCTTCGTCTAAGCACATCCGAAGCGATATCTCTGGGGGTTGGTGACGAACCTATAAGTATCGGTGTGGACGCTCAAGACATGGGGAATGAGGCGCGGTTCATCAATGACTACCGTGGTGTGGCGGAGAGCCCCAACGTGGAATTCAAGGACCATGTTGTCGGAGGCGAACTCCGTATGGGCGTATTCAGTGGACCAAAAGGCGTTGGGAAGGGTAAGGAGATCCTTGTGTCATATGGAAAGGGTTGGTGGAAGGCCAGAAACGAGGACTGGGGTGGAGTGTAAAGATTCTCGGTTCAGATCAGAAATTTGTTTTCATTGAATTTATCCACAGATACACAGTCTATGGCTTGAAACTGAACGATAAGATGTACCTAAATGTAAATAAATCATAATACATGTCAGCTAACACGCACTGGGCCACATGTAGACGAAAGCAGCGCACCCTTTATCCGCCACGAGCCCTCGGTCCTTCAACAAAATCGTG